CGCTGTTGCAGAATTACGCAAAATTTTGTTTACACAAAAAATTGTATTTATTTCGCTCGTGTAACCATATTTTGCGTTACTTCACTTAAGTTTTTGCATGCGTTTTTCTGCGTAAAATTTGAAAAAATTTTGTGGAAATTTCTGTATGGGTCGTGATCTCGCCCTGCCATTTTTTTCTTTCTTCATCATACAGAATAGATTACATAATGACACAAAAATAAGAACACCTGAAGGAGGACCAATCAACTATTACACCAACAACTTTTAGCCTTTTAGCCGCCAGACCGATCCTAGACCTTATTAATAATAGATAATCTTGCTAGTTTCCTCAAACAAAGACGAGACTCAAACTTTGTTTAGTCTAGACTTCTCCCAGAGAATTTTCTTGAAACACACAAACTGTACCAACATGTCAGTAATACTGACCACATTTTTGTTCGCTTCTTCATTCCCCTTTTGTAATGATACATCATGTGATTTGCCCCTTATTTACAAGGAGAAACGAAACTTACCTTTTTCAAGTTAACAAAATTCGTGGGCGTTGGTGATGAATATACTCATACTCTTTTATGGTTTCTTGGTTTTTTCCAACTTAAATACGACAGGAAAATCTTCCCCCAGTTCAGTTTCTATTGGTGTTTGAAGTGTTCAAGAAAATGGAGGAAATGTCGTAAAATAGTTGTGTATATGTAATTTTACGTGTTCTATCTAATGAGACTAGAATTAGAACTTAGAATTTATTCAGATTTTCAAGTTCTATCAAATCAATTACATAAGAAGCTATTGCTTTTCACCAAACTTCGCTATTTTAAATTTAAAAAACGTGAAATTTAAAAATTTAAAAATCAAGATTCATCCGTATTTTAGTTTGAAAATGATCAATTCATACTTCTGAATATGGGTATCGTGTTGAAAATACTTGCAGCCTATTTAGTTTCTTCAGTTTTCTCTTCGGGCACAAGTGCTCAAAAATCCTCGGTCTCGCGAAGTCCTACTTGCACTAGAGATATGATCTTTTTGGCATACCCACTGGAAAGAGCGTCAAAACCCTTAAGTGGCAGAAATCAGCCTAACCAGTTCGTTCATCTTCAGTTTATCTAGACTAATTTTGAATGTTACACGCCTATTCCTAAATAAAATCACACACCCAACCGATCTATGGAAAATAAAAATATTCTGAGAAAGAGTCGATGTCTAATGTCTTCCTTTTATTGCTAGTTTTTTGAATATTTATGAAAAAAAAGGCGTTTTTGTTTTTTTGATTTTTTTTTGGATTCTGAGCTTATTGACGTTTCCCTTTCGAAATTTTTCAGACTTCAATAAATTTGCGGTGTATATACTTCTTTTGAGCTCAATCTCTAGTTGAACCTGAAATGAATTGCATCATGTTCTCGAAGAGAAAGCCAGGTAAAACATGATGAAATTAATCTCAAACGACACCCTTTAGAGAGGGAATTTTCGTTCATAAAATTTGTGCTTTTTGGTGTCATCATAAATAAAAGGTAAAACCTGTGTTGTAACTTGGCGAATTTCAAATGTTTTCTCAAAATCCATTCTAAGATATAACCATTTTCCAACAGCTATTCCAGGATAGATAGATCAGTTTTATTGTATTTGTAATGATTGCATATATTTATTCTGTTGACCATATTCATCACTAGGTTTTCTTTCATAGCGTAACTATGATCGGATTCAAAGTCTAATAAATGGGTACTGCCGTTTCTTTCCTAAACCAATTTGTTTCTATCACTTCTTTCTCTGTATTGATGTGTATGCGCACATCTAGAAATGTAATAGTATTATTTTTCTCACACTCAAATGTAAATTGCAACTCTATAAAATTATTTAGATACTCCATCAGTTCTTTTATTGTATCTCTGTTTATCTCTGATATTAACAATATATCATCCACATATCGTGCTAATCCAACATATGGATACTTTTCATGGTTCCATTTTTCTAATAGAAATTCACTAACTGCAACATCGGCCAGAAATGGTAGTAACTATGATCCCATTGGAAGTCCATTAGTTTGTTTGTAGAACTTATTACCGAACTGAAAAATTGTGTTCTCTATGCTGAACTCAATTAGTCTAAGTAAACCCTCTTTACTCAAACTAGTTTTTGATTTCCATGATTCATCAACTTCTAGCAAACGACTTAACGTATGAAGAACTTGGTTACGGTCTACCGATGTGAATAAGTCACTCACATCTAAACTAGCTAACGGGTGTGATTTTTTGACTTTTCATTTATATAGTTTTCCAATTAAATCTTTAGTATTTTTAACCGATCTTCTATTATCTGCTATATCTTTTATGATGTTTGTGATATATTTTGCTAGTGCTGAACCCATACTATCTCTCATCGAGACAATTAATCTCATACTCTTCTCTATTTTATGGACTTTCAATTGTCCACGAACAATCGGTATTTTCTCTTCTTCGCTGGTGTTAATAGGTCATTCAAATCATATGTTTTGTTCACAATTTTAAAGAAAAACAAAGACGATGAATGTCAGATAAACCAAACTGAGTTATTTTACCACTGACTATTGTACTCAAGAGCGGAATCCATCATAATTCACTAATTACCTTTTGATGCGAACTACCTGACACAGCTTCTGTGGCAGTAAGGGACGCGTGGTATTGCAGAGTAACTAGACGCTTCAAATTTTTTTCATTTGTTGAAGAATATATAACGCTGGCATAGTTCATACAACTCAAAATATATGCATTATAAGCTAAACGGAGAGCGAGAAGAGATAGAGTCCTGCTCAAAAATTTCAAACAGCCAACTGTCTTACCACATTTAGAAGCCAGTGTGTTAATATGTAGAGTCCAATCGAGATTTTTAGTAAGATATAAACCAAGGTGGATATGTTGGTTTACAAAATCTAAGGAAATATTATTGATCTGTAAAGGTGGCAAGACAGCGAGCATTGTTGATCGATGAAAAATCATTTCAAAACATTTAAGGACGTTTTGCGGCTGGTACCATCGCACAGACCATTTATAGACTTTGTCAAGATCGTTATTCATACCAACAATTGACTTATTAATGTCGTTTGAGGTAGAATAGATTGAAACATCGTGTGCGAACAAAAAACATAAATTTTGAATTGTTTCAGGTAAATCATTGATGTAGATTAAAAAGAGTAATGGTCCTAAAATGGAACCCTGCGGGACGTAACACGAGATGAATTGTCCAGACGACGTAGAGCCGTCCACCATTGTGGGAATTTTCCTTTGGAATAAATAATTTTGAAACCACTTAAGAAGACAGCTAGATAAACCAGCATTTTTTAGTTTTATAACTAGACACCATCATGGTTAACTTTATCAAATGCCTTACTGAAGTCGGGAAAAGCAACAACAATTTTTTGCTGTGAACAAGGTTTTGCTGTGTCTAAATTTGATAATAATTCTAAGACTTCAGTATCATAAATATGAAACTGCGACATAACAACACGTGGAGGTGCTAACATAGGGAACGTCGGATTATTCTGAGAAGATGTGCAAACTTTTGCAAAATAATGGTTAAGTAATTCGGCTTTATCAAGCGGCTCGCTAACTAATAAGTCAGTATCTGTATTAAGTAAAGGTGGTATAGATGATGAACGGTGTTTACCAATTGTATGTTTCATGAAACTCCACCATTTTTTAGATGACGAGTTTAAATCAGTTGCAAATTTATTAAGGTAATGCTGTTTAGCAGATTTACAAGCTTCTTCGAACTTAACGGCAGCTTGGCGGTACGCCTCATAGGAATGGGTCGACGGATACATTGGTAGGAAATAATTTTTAAAAAGTTTGTCACGCTGTTTTAACTCCTTACTAAACCATAGCGCATCTTTAGAAGAAACTGTTACAAGTTTATTAGGAATTATTCTATCTGCTATGTCCATAAATTTGGAGCTTCAAGCTATTACTTTTGCTGAAATATCAGAAAATTGATTTATATGTGATGACCAGTCAAGGGGGAATAGCGCACGTCGGAATGAGTCCCAGTTAGTATTCTTGTAGTCGTACATCCTCCTTTGATATTTGAATGAAGTATTGCTTTTACTACCATGCGAGAAAAGTAATATAAGGTGGTCACATTTGGTAGAAAGTTTAAGAAATATATTAACATTAGTAACGGCTGAGATGTTACTCGTCAATAACATGTCCAAACAGGTATTCGATTCAGGACGAGTAACACCTGATACCAACTGATGTAGGCCTTCAACACACGAAAACTGGAATAGTTTATCTGCTTCATCTATACTTGGTAGAGATGGACACCAGTTGGAACAGTGTCCATTAAAATCGCCAACAAAGATTATAGACTCGTACTTAGGAGAAGTTGCCTTACGTATAATTTCTAGTGAATCACTTAGATGCTATGTGAAATCTAACATAATGACCCAGTCAGAACGATACCCAACGGAGATCAGGTAATTATTCATAGTGGTTGTTTGTAGTTTTAGAAAACATGTTTCAAAATTAGGATTATCGAATAAGGGTAATCTTTTTGCAACAGTTCCTTTCCGTATAAGTACTAATATGCCTCCAGAGCGCGCTTGTGGCTTCTATCTTTACGTAAAAATAAATCATAGTCTTTTATGTATAACTGTGCTATGTCATGAGAAGGAGTTAACCAAGTTTCGACTATAGCGATCAGAATTGGTTGTAATTTAGCTATGATTTCAACAACTGGTGATCCATGAACAGTATCATCGGATAATAGTGCAGCAACAAAAAAAAGATTGAAAGAGTCCGTAAAGCTACAAGAATAGAGAGCATGTGCCATCAATGTAAAAAATGGAGGATGTTATGGAGTTTTAAAAACTTTTTAATCGAACTTGGTCATCTTAGAGTGCTCCTCACGGCCTATATTTTTTTGGGACTTTAGCTTTATTAAAGAAAACGAAACGTTCCAAAGTACGACAGAAAAGTTCGTGTTAAACATTATGTACTGAACGCGTATTTTTTGAGTTAGACGCTTGAAAGCATATGTTTGCTGTGCACTTCCACAATTTATCCATTTCCTGTTCTTGTTTTTATTATGCAGTCGATTGTGATCCTGTGAAAATTGCTCTACATATGGCTATTCTATGGATTAATAATGTATGTGATGCTTTTAAAAAACGTTTTTATCAACATTACTTTGTGGAAAATGTAAATATCTTGGAAGCCTGGTTGCCCAATTCACTCGATAGAGCCATCGACATATTACAAAATGTTGACTTGACTGAAAAATTTGATGTAACAATACCGTTAAAAACGATCGAACAACATGAGCCTTCCATTCGAAATATAAAAGATTTTCCTGGATCATTAAAAGTTGAGCAGTTTATTGATGTAATAAATGATTTCAGTAAATTGCGAAAATGTTGGCCAAATAATTCGAATTTTATTGAATATGATGAAGATATGATCGGATGTATAACATTGTTAAGTCAATTAGCTTTGTTAGACGGAAGAAATGAAAGAAATTGGCTTGCATGGCGAAGGTTACTTTCAGATCGGCAATGTACTCGCGTACTCCTGTGTGGCGAACGAGCTGGTCATTATGGTCCATCGGAATTTGCCATAATTTTGTTTGGTGCTGGTACAATGTTGAACCAATTGAATGACTATGTCAACGATGAAAAGTTTATGAAAAACTTAAAAAATAATCTTTTAAACAATGTTGAATTGATGAATATAGCAAACAAATTATTTAAACCATTTACCGATTTATATGCTTGTCCAGCTACATGGCATTCGTATTATCAACACCACCAACAACAGTCGATAAATAAAACTATGAATATTTTAGAATATCATCCAACCGGACCACAATATGTAACTATACAAGATGATCACCAACAAAAGCCGATAAACATCACAACAAACTCTCTATTAACAGCATTGAAAGCAATACAGAATAAAGAAAAAACATTAAAGGAAATTAATTTTGTCCAGCTCCTTGATGACGAGGAATTAAAACGTACAGCTTTACCGATGATAAAAGAAGGACAACATATAGGTATGTCCTAGTATTCCGTATGTAAAATTCTATACTTTTAGTATATAGTCATACGCAATTGTGTGGGTGTATATTTGTGCGTGCCCAGTGGCATGAGCATGAGGAACAAAAGTGACATAAAACGTGAAGGTTCATGAGTATACGCTTACATATGTACAAAAGTTTCCTGTATATCAACAACGCCCGTATGTGGCAGTAGGCCAACGCATGACCGGATAACTCTGCTACTAGAGCGAAATTCTGTGATGAAATTTTGACATTTTGCTGTGTTTGTCTTTTTTTAACAAAAGCACATGCAGTGCTTTCTGTGTTTAAACAATAAATGCTAAATACTAAATACTACTTTCAAAAATGTCGTCTGGCCGTGCCGATTGATCAATTCACTGTTACAAACTAAGTCGAAAACAGGAATCTAAAGTTTAAAGACAGCGAATTGGTCCAGTGGTATTTTTCTGATGATCATTGCTTATCCCTGAGGTGACGATGCGATCCGTAAATTGATCGGGTTCCGCTTTAATTCATTTTTTGGACAACTTCGAGCTAGCATCAAGACAGCAAAGTTTTGTGAGAGATCATCGTGTGGCGATATATTCCCGAGTCGTCGACACATTAATTTTTTTCCTGACTCGTCGACAACGTTTTGGGAGGGGAGATGAAAGATGTCTGTGAGTCGCCGACACTTTAAAGTGTTGACAAATCAGGAAAATTAATTAACGCGTCAACGAATCGCGACTGAATCTGTGTGATGACAGGCATGTAGAGCTAGCTATAGTTCGAGGACAGAGATAAAAAGTAAATCACAATGATAAACATTACTTTCTGAAACAACAAAAAATATCTAATATACGTCTCTGATTTATTTTCTAGCCTCAAACGTTGATTCAAAACAATTTATAGTACTTGATTTAGACGTCTATCAAAACAGAATTGTTGATTCACTGATTGAAGTTACCCAAGGCTTATTGATGTCTTTTGATGATCTTATACTATTCGAACAATACGTGCGTTCAAATAGCGACAAACAAATTTATGTTTTTATCCCAAGAAAGGGAGCAGTGCTTGGCAACGAGATCCAAAATCTTCCCCAAATTAAAGGTGTTTATAGCGTGCAATCGACAGACGATGAAACATCCAAAATTAAAACGACTGATGACTTATTGTTTCAATTAGCTGATGATCTTGCAGGATATTACACCGAAAAAGCAAAGCAATATGGAATCCAATGCAGAAATGAGGCAGCAAAACAAAGTACTGATCGCATACAGAAAATATACAACTCGTTCGTGAATAATTATCATCAACAGTCAGGTTTGTTTATCATAGTGTTAGATTCAACGACAGTTTCAAGAACCAATCCTTTGTTTTTAGAAATGGAGAAACTTACACCGCTATCATCATCTCCAGTTATTTGGCTGCATTCGCTAAAGTCTCCAAAGTTCTCATTAGATGTTCTCTTCGAAAAAAACTTAACATTGTAGATTTGCGCTGTTGTTTTATAGAAATTGGGAAACAACGCCCAAATTTAGAGATAGGAGAATCTGAATTGGTTTTTGATATTTTCTGGTCATATTGAGCGTATACAAACTGTTCATGAATTTAATGCAATGAAACAAGTACGTTGGATATATTTTCATGCAACTGATCAATCGTTTGATATTAAAAAAACTCGTGGTACATTCACAAATGAACAGGATTTATTGTATTCATTACTAAATGATTTAAGCTATTATTGCATTCAACAAGGAAATCAATCAAGTCTTTTGGGCAATCATGAACAAGCTAAAGCAAATTATCGTCAAGCAAAAACGTTTTGTGACTTCATAACAGGAAATTTAATGACAAAACAGTTAGAATTAAATTTATAGATTTTCACTTTTTTGCAACACAATTAAAACATATAGATATGCTCCCCTGTATAATACTTTTCTTCGAAAAAGAAAGGTAATAAAGTTTAATTATATTTAAAACTTTAAATATTTGCTTTTTATGCTTTCTACGTCTGATACAGTAAGATTTCAACTTGACCAAAAAACTTAAGATAGACCGAAAGGTAAGTTTTCACACTAACTACCCTTCCTTCCCGCTCCGTCATCCTCTGTGTGTCACTTTCCTGAATTCCGATGAAGTGCGACCTTCTTCTCCGCCAAAATTTCACGAAATGTATTGTGATCTAAACCTTTGCTGATGAAAGTAGGACAGATCTCCTTGTATCTCGTGACCGTCATTTTATATTCTAATTTTTTTTGTAGATAACGGGATTCATGTCATGGCATAGTACTTATTCTGATTCTACATTTGTGCCAATTTTACTTCATGAAACTATTAGTAATAATAATCAAGCAAAATTATTAGCCGATGTAACTCTATATACGTTTTGTAAGTTTCTTACCGATTTCTGAATGTTTGGCCTATATATCGACGAATACAAATAAAGACATTTCTGTTTTCATTGCTGATGAAAATGCATTCCAACTCATTTATAATTTACAAAATTTGAATCAAATTAAAACAATTTATATATATTGTACTACGAATGCTACTTTACACATCATGAAAAATTGGTCGAAAAGATATCCTCAGAAAATTTTAGAAATTTTTCTTGTAACTGAATTAGAATATGAATTACAACGTTTTGGTATTAATTATTGTAAAAGAGCTGAACATATGAGAGACGTATTCTTAGCGCTTTTTCTGAAGCTTGCGGTGTAATCTACACTTCACTCTGAGGATCATTAGATTGTTTAACAAAAATAGTTTTAGAAAGATTGGACCGTACAGTCAGTAGTAACCCTCTTCCCGTAATAGAAGACCACCTGGTCCCGCAAGTCGAGTTCTAAAGGGTGGTCTTCTATTGCGGTCAAATTTTGTCGCCTGCTAGTAGTCCAACGGTAACCCCCACGTACTTGAAGTCCATCCCCTATCAGAAGTACGTTTTAGCGAAATTTTTTTCAAAATTCCTCTATAGGACATTTTGAGCACTTCCATACAACGTGTCATTTTGTTCAAGCTCGGAGAATAAAACAGCCGGGTGTGTTTCACAACTTAGAATTGGATCATTGGTTTTTCGTTATGTTCAATCAAATTATCTAATGAGTCTTCTTTAAGATCATTCTTCTTGAGACAAATAAGTGAAGTTCATAAGTGAATCGCACTTTTCTCCGTAATCACCATGAGCTGTGACGGATCGATTACCCGATCAACCAAAAGAAAACCTCATCTCATCATGAGATGAAATCGAACGACGACGTAGAGGCGATGAGAAGGTCAAAAAACGATAATCTTGTTAGAAACTCACACGGGTGACGCCATTGTCATCATGACTAAAAGTAATTGTCATCATAATGAATATAGTAAATGATACAGTAGTGTAAGAGATCAATTTCTATTTTCACATCTTATGCTTTGTGTCAAGAGTTAGGTCATTGATTTCTATTATCATCAAATTATTGTGACATATGCACAAACGACGATTGTGAATCAATGAATGCTAAAAAACAAACAGCAATATACACTTTGAAATAAATTACACCTGTCGTGATTTCTTCCAAAGATTGAGTCCGCATTGTGATTGGTCGAAGCATTGTGAAATCAATCCATTTTCTATTTGCGCGTCCATCATACTCGATTGCGAACCAGCTGGTTATAAATGGGCTACAATGATTGATCGTAACAGTATTCTTTACTGGCATGGCGATTTGTATGTTGTACCGTCATCGAACGCCCAACACCGTCGGTTTGGTTAGATATTTATCATTCTCGTCAGTGACTCACATTTGATGATTTTTTGGTGTGGCAACAGTCCTGTTGGCTAGTTGCATCATTACAATCATGTAGCTGTCCAGTCGGAATGAAGCAATATTCATGTAAACATTCAGTTGGATTGGCAATTTTATTTACCTTGTATCAAGTTAGCGGTAAAACAAGTATTCAACCACTGGGCAAAATAAAGACAAAAAGGGCGCCCCAAGAAAGTTAGCAAAGCTTTAAATTTGTAAATAAATGTAAATAAGACTGTAAAAATATAGTCTTGGTTAATATTTAGTTAATATGTTGTTATATTTGTACATTACACTCTGTTGAAAAATAAAAATGTGATGCTGGAAAAGGTGATCAAAAGTATCTTTTTTTGGTGATCAGACAAATTGATACCCAAAATAATATTTGGGCTCACGTTAAAAACACTTTTTCTCCTTATTTGCCATCTTTTCGAGGTTTGAAAATTGAAAACAGTGAAATTTTGAGAGACAATGAAAAACTCGTAGACAGACTCGCTAACTACTACGAAAAACATTTCTCTGGACCAACGCATGGTGCTAAGAATAAATTTCATCGAGATTGTTTGAAGTATTAAAAAAGACAGACAAAACGGCGAATATTCTGCCTGAAAAAATAAAATATGACGAAGTTTATGAAGAGCAGTTAGCATTTAAACCTTAAACTCTCTCGATAGTACGAAAAATTCAGCTTTTCTTTTAAAACAATTACCTCTTGAATACCTAATACAATCACTATTTTGTTTAATAAGTGCGCAGAAAAAGGTACATTTTTTGAACGTAGTAAAGAGGGCAAGGGTGTGTGTCTCTCGAAGGACGGATTGTTTCCTGTACAAGATCGTTTACAATCCATTTCCTTGCTACCAAATCCTGAAAAGTGGCTTGAAAGAATAATGACGGAACAAATTGAAGGATGTTGTAAGAACCACGGTCTTCAAGTTGATAAACAGTCAGGGTTTATGGCACGAGAAAGCTTTAAACTCTTGTTCTGTCCATTATTGAAGATTTGAGATTGACAGTGCAGCCTGTAATAGACCGGCAGTGGCAATTTTTGTCTATTTTCAAACCGCATTCGACAGAATGTGGTATCCTGCGCTGATGAAAACTCTGAATGACTTGGAAATGCCGCTGATCCTTCTACGATAAATAATATTATACAAATATAAAATATTTACAAGAACAAGCAGAACCTATTTTAAAAGCCATCGAGAATTTTTCAGGCAACCACATGCTTCCTGTAAATATTCAAAAAACTAAAGCGATGCTAGTCCACTGTGCAGTCGCAATAGGAAAGTTCCAAAGTTTTTATAAAAATGTACCTATAAAATACGTAAAAGATTCCAAGTGTCTAGGAGTCGAAATCGGAACAAAGATAAGTTTAGGTAAACATATTCAAACTCGAGTAAAAATGGTAAGAAATTCATACTGTGGTCTTCGAAAAATATTCAAAAACATTCCAAAAGGATGCAATTAAATTATGGAAAAAACTTCTTTGCGCGTTTCTTGCGCGAGCACGTATTTAATACAGGTCTGCGGTTGGCGTACAGTGTGTGTGGATATGAGGATTAACTACTTTAGCTTTGTGTCAAGAATATTCAGTTATAGACTGTCTATACACGTACTGGATTAAACTTCATAAACGCCTTGAAGAATCCATTGAAGCTGCGGCATACCAACAAACTTGGTCTGACTTCTAGTTGCTTCTGCTCCAAGGAAAACATACTATAAATGGATATTGCTAAAAGACGAGAACACCCACGAATACCCGCGAACACCCCCAAATTAAAATCTGAGTTAGCCAATCGACAGAGCTCGTCGAGCTGAGTATAGCAACGCCTCACCAACACCCAAAAACGTTTTTATAGTTTCGCTTTTTAAGCATACATTTTGAATGAACACCCACGAACACAAAGAAGAAAGGGTAAGAACACCCAAAAAAGTGCGCCAAATTCATCTTCAGGTTATTCTGGGTTGAGAGTGAGCTGTGGGTGAGCCTACCAGTACCTCACCCTCATCCCCGCACCCACACCACACCCTCAGCCCAGAATAACCTGAAGTTCTTACCCTTTCTTCTTTGTGTTCGTGGGTGTTCTTTGGTTGTTCGTAGGTGTCCGTGGGTGTTTATTCAAAATGTATGCTTAAAAAGGGAAACTATAAAAACGTTTTTGGGTATTCGTTAGGCGTTGCTATACTCAGCTCGACGAGCTCTATCGATTGGCTAACTCTGATTTTAATTTGGGGATGTTCGTGGGTATTCGTGGATGTTTGCGTCTTTTAGCAATACCCGAAGGCGTTGCATTCGAGACTTGATATTCTCTCTTTTATCAATGTGGATAAAAAAAAGTTTGGCGTATTTAAATATTCTTCAGCTACTCTTGAAACCTTTGTACTCAAATACTTCCCAAAGATACCACCGTGAAGTAAAGGTTAAATGTCACTGCTAGTGTATGTAAACGATCATGTCTTTTCCTTTATGTAAACTTTTTTTCTCTCCTTTCCTTGTGCATGTGATTATATGAACTGGGTGTGTTATGTTTGAAAGAAAAGGTATGTACTGTTATGAAAAATGAAAATTTGTATCAAATTATTTATTTATTAATTTATTAGTTTTCGTGTTTTTTTTCTTCTTCTCAATCGCTTCTTCAATTTTGTATAAATGTGTAATCTTTGACTTTATTAGTTGTTAACCCTTAATGGGAACAATAAATTACATATAAAAAAACAAAAACATTCTTCTAGCACAACATGTCTGCTATCTTTGATTTTTCATTGGACTCTTTCTGCGTTCCATGCTATTTTATGCTCCGTTTCTGAAATAACTAGTCATAGAATAAAAAACATGACGGACAGAAATTTATGAGTTTTCGCCCGGTAAATTTTGGGGCATCTTGAGCAAGTCATTGTGGTCTTTGTCTTTCGCCACCGAATAACTAAAGAAAATTTTATATATATACTTATCCGTTATATATACTTGATACACGAAATATAATCACTGAAGATAGTCAACAGAAACAACGACAGTCACAAGTGCTACCTTCTCAAGAAAAATATCTTATTAATAAAATTTAGCATTGTTTTCAAGAAAACTTTTA